TTCCCCGACTCTCATACTCATGGAAAGTAGGAAACTTAAGATCTTCTAAGTATGGAAATGACACATTATACGTGATAAGGAGAATCGTCAAGATCAATAGTTAGAGGGGAAAAAGCAATTGTGGAACTGTGAAAAAGACACACACGTGTGTGTGTGTGTGTGTGTGTGTGTGTGCGCACGCGCACGCGCACGAATCCAAGTTGTAAAAAATAAGCCATTTGTAAATAAAATAAAATTAAAAAGTATATCAATATCTAAACAAAGATATGATTACGTCCATCTAATAAATACATACACAATGCATTTGTGTATATATGCATCCTTGGGAGGAGACATAAGAAATGAGGGATGAAGGTTTCTGCCAGGAAGGGAAATGAGCAGCTAAGAGATAGGAGCAGCCTGCCAATGTATCATTAACCTTTTAAAACTTTGTGCTAGGAGATCAAATTTATTATATAATTGTCAAAATGAAAAGGTGTATTAAATCAAGCACAAGCCTGGGCCAGGCAGCTAGTGCAGGGAGCTTGAGCATATGCCTGGCAGGTGGGCACCCAAGGTCTGACAATCGGATACCCAGCACTGCACAGTGCACCTCACCCCACCGCCCTGGACCCCGAGGCTGCCCCAGGTGGCCCCAGTACTGCCAAGCACAGCACTGAACCTTCAGTTCACAGAGCAGCAAGAGTGACCCTAGGGATCCCTGACCACTGCCAGGAAAGTTCCCAAAACATGAACCCTGGTAAGAAGGAAAGGCCAACCCCTCTTGGTGGGGGGAGGCCAGGGATGCTCGGGTGGGAGTGGCTGTAGCAGGGGGTGATGGGGTCACATCAGGGAGTCACAGGGAGTGGTGTGCTAATCGGAAGTGCTGAGCTCAGCAGGCGTGGGGACTCAGTGAGCTAAGGAAGGCTGTGGGGGGCAGGTGAGTGGGGGTCAGTGGGTGGTGGGTGAGTGAGGTCAGTGGGTGGCGAGTGAGTGGGGTTGTGGGGGGCAGGTGAGTTGGGGTCAGTGGGGGGCAGGTGAGTGGGGGGTTTGTGGGGAGGTGGGCAGGGAAAGTGGGCTGAGGGTGCCATGTACAAGAGGATTTCCTCACAACCAAGGGTGGGCTGGTGAGTAGACAGTAGATGCAGGTGGAGGGTTGGCCCTTGGCAATGACTCTGGGAAAGAAAATACTGAAGAACTGAAAGCATGTAGCTTAATGAGCAATTGGGTGTAAGCGTCAGGGAAAGGGAACAAGCGTTAGGAAATCTTTCCAGCGGACTCATCACTTGACCATGTGCAGATCACGGGGCCCTGTGCTGTCTGAAAGAAACCTGAATGTACAAGCACTGTGCCTGGAGCAGTGAGGAGTGTGTGAAGACTCAGCACAGCCTTTGACTGTGCTTTGTTGCACTTTTAATGTTCTGTTTCAGGGATATTTACCTTTTTGGGGGGAGGGTTATTGCACACCTGGCAGTGCTCAGGGGTTATTCCTGGCTTTGCTTGGGGGTCTTCCCTGATGGTTCTGGGGGTGTCATGCGGGAGGCAGAATCCAGGCCTCCCCATGCAAAGCAGGTCATCAGCCTATTAGGGGTGCCCTGGTTCCACATCGCACTTTAAATGGCTGCATGATATTCTGGCTGATGGATTTACGAGGATCTTAATCATGTTCCATTAAACACATGAGTTCTTTTTCTCCTTAGTTCTTACAATTAAATACCAAAGTAAATTATATGTACATATACAGACATATACATATATATGTTTTGATCCTTTAGTTTTGTGGGCCACACCAACTGTGCCCAGGATTTACTCCTGGCTCTGTGCTCAGGAATCACTTTGGGTAGGGCTCGGGGAACTATATTAGGTGCCAGGGATCAAGCCTGGGTCAGTTCGTGCATGGCAAACACCTCACCTGCTGGACCATCTCATCAATATTTTTTATAGAAATGTTGGGGTGTCATTCTGATGATTATCTTATACAATAAATTCCTAGAAGCAGATCATCTAGGTCAACACACACAAACGTGTGTGTGTGTGTGTGTGTGTGTGTGTGTGTGTGTGTGTGTGTGTTGGGGGGTAGAAGGCGGGGGAGGCTACACCTGGCTGTGCTCAGGGATCATTCCTGGCCCCGTGCTCAGGAATCACCACTGGTGGGGCTTGGGAGACCGTATGAGGTGCTGGGAACTGAACCGGGTTTGTCTGCCTGAGAGTATAAGAGAGTGTAAGAGATTATATCCCTTCAACTCTCTTTGGCCCCAGTACAAACATTTGAAAAATGTCCTTGAGTCCACTGCAGAGAGAGCCCATCCTGACTTAAAGCTCGCTGGAATGTAGCAGCTAAAGGGCCATCCAAGGAAATTCTCTTCTCCAGAGCTCCCGGCTGATGCAGGGTGCAGACAGGAAGATGGTTCTGAGAAGAATCTGCTGGGGACTGGAAGGACAAAGAGAGGCTGGGACTGAGCCCCTCAGGAGGGATCAGAAGAGGGGAGAAGGGGAGGGGGGGGAGGGGCCGGGTATCATTGGCAAGAGGCGAGGAGCCCAGCAAGACGGATCTCAAGGTGGGAGCTGGGACTGACATAGCAGAGTGGACTGCGGGCAGCCTTAAGGAAGTTTCTTCTGATGAATCCGATATGAGGAGGTTTGGGGGACACCGTGATATCAGCATAATATCACAGGGGGTGGTCAACTCCTACACTCCAGTATTGCCCCATCCCACACCCTACACAGGAAACTCCTCTGAACAGGAATTTCTTCTCTTTCTCCCTTTGGTTTTGGGACCACACCCAGCAGTGCTCAGTGCTCACAGTCCTGTGCTCAGGGATCATCCAGGTAGTGCTAGGAAGACCACATAGGGTCCTGGACATGAAATTGGGGTGCTTGCCAGGAGACCCCACTGGGCTATTTCTCCACCCCCTAGTATACATTTTAAATCAGGCAACAAGTAAGTCTAACCTGGGGGTCTGTTGAAGAAGAATCGATGGTTTAGTCGTTGACAAAGATTCGAGGTGGAAGGCATCGTGGGGTGTGGCAGAGCAGAGGAAGGGATGTGATGGGCACAGGAAGAGTGCAGGGATGGAAAGGGCAGGAAGGGGCTGAGACTTTCTTTAAATTCCTTTAAAGGAACATTTGTCAGTGAAGGGGCAAAAGTGGAAGAGACGGAAGGGGCGAAAGAAAGCCCCAGAAGGGGAAGAAGCCCCCTCAGTGGGAGACAAAGGGGCTCAGGTCCCGTGAAGAGAACTGCAGGTCTTGGGGTTCATGACAAATGGTTCTGTTCTCGCCGAAAGGAGGGGCTGAAGTTACTGGCTGGGAGCACCTCAGGGAGCAGGAGACCTAAGCAGGTTTGAGCACCCCAGTGGGTGCTTTCTGGGGAGTTGGGGAGAACAAAGGAGGCTCACGGGAACCCGGCAGCCTGTGGGGATTTTGCTGGGATAAAATAGACCTGGTACCTATTCTGGGGAAGATTCCCATTCGGGCTGTTTCCCCTGAGAAGGTTAGGATCCATGTTCCCGCATCTGGCTGCCTCATTCCTGGGTGAAGATTTCCTTTAAAAGAATTCTGAACACTTCTCCTGTCATAAATGATCCCTGTCAGCCCTCTGAGAGCTCCGGCTTCCCTCCACTGCTCATGGCCTGTCACAGAGAGATCTCGGTCTCCTGTGGGTACCACCGTCCCCCACTCCCGGGGCTCTGTTTCTGTTTGGTTTTCACAATATTCTCCATCACTCTCCTGGGGCACCCTCCTGCCCCACACTCCCCCCACCCCCGCCTTGCTTGTTGAAAGCCCAGCCTTTCTGTACCTGATCTTTGCCCCCACACCTCCACACCTACTTCTGCACATGTGACCTAGACCAGCGATGTATTTGCAGGGCGCTACGCAGAATGAAAACGTAGGGTCCTCTGTTCAAAAAAAGAAAAAGATACATTTCAAGCCAGCTGCAGTGGAGCCTTATACCATGGGTGGATGTTTCTAAACGCAGCCCTGTGTCACCAGCATGGGTCTCTTGTGCAGGAAATGCTTCGGTTTTCGAGGCATTTGCTGCTCTGATATGTTATTTATTCACCATTTTCTGATCATGTTCCCTGGTCCCCCCCCACCCCACCCCGTGTGTCTATTTAACTTACTTGAACTGGACTTTGTCCAGCGAGTATATAGGCTTATAGAAACCAAGTCTGGAGGCTGGAGTGATAACACAGTGGGCAGGGTGTTTGCCTTGCACATGGCTGTCCCGGGTTCGATTTCCAGCATCCCATATGGTCCCCCAAGGCCCACTAGGAGTAATTCCTGAGTGCAAATCCAGGAGTAACCTCTGTGAATCGTTAGGTGTAACCCCCTCCCCCCCAAAAAGGGAAAAAAAAATAAGCCTGATATGGGGTTTGAATTAGAGTTGCGTTTGACACCTTTTTTTGTTTGCTCATCTGAAAGTAACCTGAGCGGCCAGCAGCCTGGGGTTCCGTGCTCCGTGTCCTGCAGGCAGAGTTGCTGGAGTCTCACAACCACCTGCTGTGGCAGTGGCACTCTCCTGGAAACACAGGCCTGGGTGCAGATCCGAAGGACAGCCGGGTCAACAATGCCACCCTCAGTGCCCGAGCCCAGCCTGGAGGTGGCTCAGAGAAAGCGTTCCGAGAAAGCATTTGAGAGCAATAGTACTGGTCCCTACTGCTCCACTGTGGGCCTCCAGCCCTAACCCAGGAGGGGTTCTAACATAGTTTTTTTTTAATTGACTTAATTTTGTTTTTTGGGAATCACACAGTCATGCTTGGGGCTGACTCCTGGCCCATGAATCACTGGGGTTTGGGGGACCATATGGGATGCCGGGGATCGAACCCAAGCCAGCTAGGTGCAAGGTAAGTTGCCTTCCCCACTGCCCTATGGCTCCGGCCCTGCTGAGGCACTGCTGAATGTCTGTTCTTTCCAGTGGGAGGACTCTGAGGTCCTTCTCTGACAGCCTGCCTGGCTGTCACCGCTGGCAGCCTGGACCCATGTTTCCCCCCGCCCTCCTCCGGAACCCAGCCCCCACCTACTTGTTGGTCTGCCGCTGATGCTGGATGACCATGTTTTTCTCGTGGATTGTCTCCAGAAGGGCGGTGGCCAGAGATTTCAGGTCCGAGATGGATTGTGGTGTTGCCGGGAGGCTGCATCCGTGACCCTCTGATAACAGATCTTGAACTAGGGAGGGTACAACAGGGACAGCTCAGATTCTGATCCTCCCTGATGCTGGGGTTTCCAGCCTCCAACGCAGCTTATACTGACACTTCTCGCTCAAAAGTGGCACAAAATGACATTTGGCGCAAAGATGAAGCAGAAAGGAGATGGTTCTCAAGGGGGTCTAGCAACAATTTAAGTATGTGAACTTGATTTTTATTATTTATTTACATTCACTTTATTTTTTGGTCCAGCAGTGCTCAGGGCTTACTCCTGGTTCTGCACTCAGGGATCTTTCCTGGCAGGGCTGGGGGGGGATGACTCCGGGGTGCCGGGGATGGCACGCGGGTTGGCTGGTGCAACGCCAGTGCCCTGCTCACTGTCCTATCTCTCTAGTCCCTGAATTTGATTAAAAAAATAATAACCAACTTCCGGTTGCTAGGGCTGTGGGGGGTACAAAGGAGGACTCAGCATGTTACTGACTGGTTGTTTGTTTTATTTTGTGGTGCAAAGATCGAATCCGGGGTCTCAAGCATGCAAGGATAGTCACTGAGCTATATCCCTAGCCCTTAGAAAGGGATTTTTGAAAGAACGATCTGTTGTGTTTGACACTTCCAAAACCACTTTCAAATGGATGAATTTATTTGATATCTACAATTGAGAAAAAAAGAAAAAGAAAAGAAAAAAAACTCCTTCCTGGAAAGTCATTATTTCCTCCAGGAAAGTCAGGGGCTGGAATTTCAGAACACAGACTTGGGTCTCAGCGCCGGTGAGCCCCAGTGACTCCTATTCTGAGCTCCTTGCTGGACGTCAGCATATCCCCTGACATGAGGTTTGCCAGGGGGCTGGCATGACTTAGACGGCAGAAAAATATATTTTATATATGCATATTTTCAGAAAGAGGTGATGGGGACTGGAGAGATAGTACAGGGCAGAGGACACTTGCCTTGCAACTGGCTGACCCCAGTTAGGTCCCTCACACCCCACCCTGAGCACTGCTAAGAGTGATCCCTGAGCAGAAGGCCAAAAGTTGGCCCTGAGCATGGCTGGTGTAGCACAAACCTGGTCCCTAGCTCCAAAGGAAAGAAAAGGGAGATTAACCAACAGTCAACACAAAAAAACATTACCCATTTGTTCTCTTAGGAGGCAGAAAAGAGGACAGCATGAATGTCTCATTACATGTCTTTGAATCCCCTTCCCTACAGGCCTATATGTAGATATACAAATTCAGACATACGTCTCCAAAAATAGGCAGAAGCCTGCTTTCTCTTCTAAAACATTAACCACAGCGGCTGCTTAGTCGTCCATGTATATAACAACTGACATAATTACTTTATGGACCTTTCTGTTATTTCCATTTTTTTTATTATAACTAATGTAGGAAGAACTTCCTTGGAGCAAAATGCTTGCACATGTTTGTAATTATTTCTTGCTGGTCTGAGGGGGGATCCGTTTAAAGCCTTTCATAGCGGGCTGTCGAATGGTTATCTGGAATGGAGGCGCCAGGTTTACAGCTCACCCACGGGTGGCTGAGTGTGGTTGGTGTTCCTAGTGGGGAATAATACTGGGTTGTCAATATTCAAAGATGTTTAGCTATCGAGTACAGCCAGAGCTCCGCTTGTTCATGCTGCTTCCCATTTTAATGCCGAGTACTGCAGCTTTCTTGTAAAAAGACTATTCTAGGGTGTCTTTTTTTCCAGTTGGGTGGAAGGAAGGTGCTGGGGAAAGTGGCCTGATTAATTAGGTAGGTTGGCGCTTCAGCACTTTCCCTCCCCCCCCACCACCCACAAGCCACTCTAGTTGGGATGAAGCCTGTCGTGTGGTCACTGAGATGTGCCCTGCCAATAACCTGAAAATGGGCCAGACAAGCGTGTTCAACCCGAGGCTTATGAATTCCCAAGTCTGAAGTGTCGGGAGGCAGCTCCCTGCTATTTATTCCCCTGGACTCTTCCTGGGAGATCATTATTTTTCATCGGAATTGACATGAGGGAGGAACGAAATTACAATCAATAAAAGCTTCTTTGAGAAAGGCCTGGGTTCCAAGTGGGGGAGGGGAGGGGGGGATTCGAGCAGCTCTGAGACTTTTCTAGTGTGATCAGAGGCACCGGGAGGAAAAACTCGATGAGATGGAAACATCCCCTCAGAAGCACTGGGCTGGTGAGGAGGGGAAGGACGAGCAGGGCATGGCGGGGAGGGGCGCAGAAGGGCTGCAGCCACGAGAAACAGCTGGAGGCAGAGGCTGTCCAAACAGGCTCCCTAAACAGCATCACCATGCACGTGGTCCAGTTTCACCCCTCACTCACCTGATTCTGGGGTAGGGCCCAGGAGTTTCGATTTTATTTTAATTTTACTTTATTTTCATAAAGTTGTTTTGTTACATACGATGCTTGATTACACTCAATATTTCAACACATATCACACCACCATTATACCTTCCCACCACCATTATTTCCAATTTTCCCAACCATTACCCAAGCCTGCCCCAATAGCAGGACCTAAATAATGTATTTTGTATTGCTTGTTATGAATAATTTGCTAAACATGATCAAAAAAGATTTCCTTAGACGAAAGTGTGTGAAGATTGTTGTATGAGCCATAAGCCCTTGTCTAGGAGATTACTAATATGTTACAGGTTGAGCCTTGTGTGTTAATATTTTCTTAACTGAGATTGGTTGCCTTCTACTTTATATCTCATTCAACGTGGTATGCTCAGGAGTCTCGATTTTCACCTGGGATTTAGGCAACTGTGATGGGTGAAGCTTAACTGTCCGGGTTTCCAGTTCCCACAGCAGGTTGGTGGAGGCCGGCGTGGGCTCCGGCCTATGTTCCTAGGGGCGCTCCCCCATCCCTATCCTCAGGTATAAATCCTACCTTGCTTGGCTGACAGGACTCCGGTCAAAGCGCTGCTGTTGGATTTACTCTGGCCTTTGGAGTTTTTCCGCCTCTCAAGAGCACTCTGAAGCAGCACCAGGAGTAAAAGAAAAAACTTGGTCAGAAAACGCAGCTGTGGAAAAGGCCCGAGTAGAGCGGAAGCAGTCTCCCACCCGCACTCAGTGCCTGGGACCTCACTGCTGCCCAGCCTTCAGAAATCACACTCCCGGCCAGAGTTCCGATTCTTATTGACTTGGGAATGGGTTGGGTTTTTTTTTTTTATTATTGTCTTGTTGCTGGTTTGGTTGGTGGTGGTTTTATTTTTTTTGTAAATTAATCTGTAAGTGACTTGATTTGTTGCCTACTAATCAAATCACTTACAGATTAATTTACCAAAAAAATCATAGAGGGAAATATATATATATATATGTATATATATATATATACATATTTTCCGTCCCTCTCAGAGAGCCCAGCAAGCTACCAAGAGTATGTTGCCCACACAGCAGAGCCTGGCAAGCTACCCATGGCGTATCTGATCTGCCAAAAACAGTAACAATAACAGTCTCATTCTTCTGACCCTGAAAAACCTCCTACATGGCAGAGTTGGGAAGGACGAGAGGAGAGGCTGTTAAAACCTCAGGGCTGGCAAACAGTATGGATAAATCTCAAAAAATTAGAAATTGAGCTCCCATTTGACCCAGCAATACCACTCCTGGAAATATATCCCAGAGAGGCAAAAAATTACAGTCAAAATGACATCTGCAATTCTATGTTCATTGCTGCACTATTCACAATAGCCAAAATCTGGAAAATACGGAGTGCCCGAGAACAGATGACTGGTTAAAGAAACTTTGGTACATCTACACAATGGAGTACTATGCAGCTGTTAGAAAAGATGAAGTCATGAAATTTACATAAAATTGGTACTACATGGAAAGAATCATGCTAAGCGAAATGAGTCAGAAAGAGAGGGACAGACATAGAAAGATTGCATTCCTCTGGGGAATATGAAGTAACAAAATGGGAGACTAACACCCAAGAATAGCCGAGATAGGTACCAGGAGGTTCACTCCATGGCTTGGAGGCGAGCCGCACATGTTAGGGGAAAAGGCAGCTCAGATAGAGAAGGGAGCACCAAATAAAGGGTGTTGGGTGGATCCTCCCAAGATGAGAAATGCATGCTGAAAGTAGACTATAGACCGAACATGACTGCCACTCAATGCCTCTTTTGCAAACCACAGCACCCAAAAGGAGAGAGAAAACAAAAGGGAATGCCCTGCCACAGGAGTGGGGTGGGATGGGAGGGATAGAAGCACTGGAGGAGGAGAATGGGCATTGGTGGAGGGATGGGTACTCAATCATTGTACAACTGAAACCCAAGCAACAAAAATTGTAAGTTTACAACTGTACCACATGGTGTTTCACTAATAAAAAAAAGAAAAAAAATCTCAGGGCTGTGATGAATGGAGACATTACTGGCACACCCTTGAGCAAATTGATGAACAACGGGATGACAGTGCTACAGTGATACAATGCTAACCTGTAAGTTAGTAGGGAGCAGAACAACAGGCATTACAGAGTGCTCAACAGTCAAGACACCACAATGCATCTGCTAAGTAAAATCAGAAGCAAAATCTCCACCTAAGGGGCGAGTCACTGATTAGTCACTAATTATGGAAATGACTCTGTTTTTTGTTGTTGTTGTTGTTGGGGGAGAGGGGGAGAAATGTTTGGGGCCACATCCAGTGGTGCTCAGGGCTTACTCCTGTCCCAGTTGCTCAGGGATCACTCCTGGCAGGATCTGGAGGACCATATTTGGTGTTGGCAATCAAACCCGGGTCAGCTGTGTGCGAGTGCCTTCCCCACTGTACTACTGCTCTGACCCCTGCTGTCGCTGTCCCTGCTCACAGACAGGAAATGAAGGAAGGTTTATTTTCATGCACGCCACAAGATCATTGGGGGCATCTGGAAGGAGTCTGTGGCTGGGCTGGAAGAAGAATCGTGATCCAGTTAGTGGCCTCCTCTGTGAGCACAAGAGATGAGTGGACCTGTGCTACCTACATGCCATTCATGGGGCAGAGCCTCACTTGCAAGTCATGTGTTCATTATAGCCAGTGCCACATGCAGAACTGAATAAAGGTCTAAAATACACACCCAGGGCTGGGTATGGATACCTCGCACCCCACCCTGAGCACTGCTAAGAGTGATCCCTGAGCAGAAGGCCAAAAGTTGGCCCTGAGCATGGCCGGTATAGCTCAAACCTGGTCCCTAGCTCCAAAGAAAAGAAAGAGGAGATTAACTAACAGTCAACACAAAAAACATCACCCATTTGTTCTCTTAGGAGGCAGAAAAGAGGACAGCATGAATGTCTCATTACACGTCTTTGAATGCCCTTCCCTTGCCTTGCATGTGGAGGTGACGGTGAAGGCCTTGCACGTGGAGGTGAAGGCCTTGCACATGGCTGACCCCTGTTCAATCCCCAGCACCACAGATGGTCCCCTGAGTACCACCAGGAGTCACTCCTGAGCAGAGAGCCAAGAATAACTCCTGAAGAAAGCTGGGTGTGGGCCCCCCCCCACCCCAGCCCTCCCACAAAGTGAACAAAGCAAAATGAATATATGAAGAGAGTTTAAAAGCGTGTGTCAGTTATGAACCTATCTAGCAGTGTCCAGTTCCATGTCTAGACAGAAACTGTTCTCTACAGGAGTGTGGCCCCACAGAAAGCAGAGACATCTGGGGGGGAAATACCCCAACAAAACACCAACACAAAATGCCAGAGACTGGAGAAGACTCTCCAGCATCGAGACTGCTGTCAAAACTCCAGCCTCGGGAAGAGAAATCAATCTATTTTCCAAGCAGAGAAACCCAGGAGATTTTTCTAATTATAACACTTACAACTAACATCTGCAGAAGTAGATATTATCAAACTAATGGTGCTGGAATTAGACTGGGGATCAGTGGGGAGAAGTTAAACATTCTGTGGGACGTGGGCACTCGCATGTAGAGGGTGATTTCCCGCGTTGTGTTTCTGCATTGCTCGGAAACCATTTTCTCATGGAGGCTGAGAGACAAATACTACCCAGTGAAGGCACCTCGTCTTGAAACCTCGAGTAAGCAGTGTCATTTTGTATGGACTAAAGAAGATAGGTCAGTACTGAGTCCACCATCAGATGATCTCAGTGTGCCCAGCCCAGGAACCAGCCCCAAGAGGCGTTTGCAGAAGCTGTTTGGGTTTTGTTGGCTATTTGATTCTTACTGGCCGTCTTGATCTAGACTCTCTCTGGGAGGGCAGGCAAGCACTAAAATATCTCTGGCACATGAAGGGTCATGAAAATAGAGCGACATTTAGCGACCATCGTGAATCAATCCTGCTTTTGCTACCTTGTATTTGGCGATGTTCGATTTCAAGAGGTTGACCTCCTCGTGAAGTTGCTTTAATCGCTCTTGAAGGTACCTGGAAAAAGAATATAAATGGCTGGGCAGTGTCTGGCACACAATGAAATACGCACCCTGGAGTCCAAGACAGGGATGGGGATGGGAAGGAAAAGCCTCGTGAGCCACGTTTCACACCAAAGACCTGCTTGGCACGGGAAGGAAGAGGAGAAAAGTGCATCTCTGCGACCTTTACGTAAATGGATGTGATCAAGGTCAAGTCTGCCCAAATCACAGCAACCCCACTTTAAAACAGCCCTGTGCAGAGATCCCCTACGGGATAGCAACACAGTTTTCACATAATTCTCATTAAGATGATTCCACTGGGAAGGCAGACAGGGAGAGGCGACAGAACACATAACATTAACTCAGACACACACACACACTGAAACTCGCCTCGGGGAAAAGAAACAGCTAAGGGAATTTCTCAATTTATTTTCTTATTCTCTCCCCTTCTCCTTGATGGCAATAACAAGCAGCTTCCACGAATTCTCTCCCCTTCTTGTCCAGCATGGAGGGAGAGAGCCGGGAAGAGGAGAGGGGAACCGGGGCAGGCAGGGGACACTGAGCTCCTGAGCTTACTGAGCGGCTCTGACCAAGTCGTGACTGGCTGTGGTTCTTATTTTCATCTAGGTACTGTGATTTCGCAGAGATGCACTTTTCTCCTCTTCCTTTCCGTGGGCTGGAGCGGTAGCACAGCAGGTAGGGCATTTCCCTTGCACGTGGCCAACCCGGGTTCGATTCCTCCATCCCTCTCGGAGAGCCTGGCAAGCTACCGAGAGTATCCTGCCTGCATGGCAGAGCTCAGCAAGCTCCCTGTGGCATGTTAAATATGCCAAAAACAGTAACAAGTCTCACAATGGAGACGTTACCGGGGCCCGCTCAAGCAAACTGATGAACAACAGAAGGACAGTGCTACAGTGCTAAAATGATTTCAGTGGTGTTTGTGTTCATGGTCTTGATAAACAGGGACTGCAGCACCCAAATGGCCCATATCTTCCACCAATGGCCATTCTTGTGCCCACCCGAAGTCTGCATCTTCTCTCCCTTCCTCTCCCTCTTCCCTCTCCCCCTGACCCCACCCTCTTGGCCTGGTAATCCCAGTTTTACAATCAAAGGCCAAGGGGTTGACCTCCTTTGATATTGTGCCTTGACACTAAAACCATCTTTTGGAGTTGGTGACTTTTCCTTCTCCATTGCCTTGGGTGACAACGCTCTGTCATGCAGATGGTGTCCCAAGCTACCTTCAGCCTGCAGGGCCCAGGAGAAGAGCCAGTGTCCTTCCTGGGGAGCCGGCCTGGGCTAGGGCTGCTCACCTGTTCTCCATGCACAGGGCATCCACATCGATGATCCGGTTCTCGTGCCCACCCAGAATGTGGTTGAGCTCCTGGTTCAGCCTCTCCACTTTGTCCTGGTAGGAAGATCGCTCTTCTTTCACATCCTGCAGCTCGTCCACGGAGGACTGCAAATCGTGCTCCAGAGTCTCGATCTGAAAGTCAAGGAGATCCTCTTAGTCCTGAGGTGAGCCTGAAGGCAAAGATAGGGCCTTCCACATGGCTGACTGATGTTTAGTTTTTATGAATCCCGCCTGCATGGTAGAAATCCAGAAGGGCCCACACACTGGAAGATAATGAAAGCTGCAAGCACAAGGATGGTGTCCATCTGGGCACTTCCTGTATCAAATATGGGATGGGACCACTGTCTGTAACACTGTCCTCCCATTGTTCATCGATTTGCTTGAGCGGGCTCCAGTAATGTCTCCATTGTGAGACTTGTTGTTACTGTTTTTAGCATACCGAATACGCCACAGGGAGGTTGCCAGGCTCTGCCGTGCGGGCGTGATACTCTCGGTAGCTTGCTGGGCTCTCTGAAAGGGACGGAGAAATTGAACCCAGGTCGGCCATATGCAAGACAAACGCCCTACTGGATGGGAGCTTCGGTTTAGAAATACAGGGCTTGCCCCTGACCCCTCCCCTCCGCCTCCCCCCCCCCCCCCCCCCGTGATGTGCAGAGAAGACAAACCCAGACATGGGCCACAGCAGCCATGGCATTAGAAATACAGACTTTCCATGAAATCTGCCTATAAATGGATGGACATGGAGAGTATCATGCTGAGTGAAATGAGTCAGAGGGAGAGGGATAGATATGGAATGACTCATTTGTGGTACATAAAAATAGATAGTAGAAGACTAATATCAAGGTCAGGGGAATCAAGGGCTAGGAGGACTGTTTAACGGTTGAAATCTACCACAAGTGTGTGTGGTATGGAGGGTAGGTAAGAGAGAGAAGAGACCAGTATGACAGTAATAGTTGGAAATGATCACGCCTGACAAGAACTGCGTTAAAGTTGGTAAAGGAATTTACATGACATGCTTTCAGTATCTGTACTGCAAATCACAATGCCCAAAAGGTGTGCGTGTGTGTGTGTGTTTTGTGTGTGTGTGTGTGTGTGTGTGAGAGAGAGAGAGAGGTGAGATAGGGTGGGGTGGGGGTGATGGGACACTGGGGTGCTGGAACACTGTGTGATTGAAACTAATCATGAACAGTTTTGTATCTCAGTGATGCAACTAAAAAAAATCTGTAGAACAACAACAACAAAAGAAATACAGACTTTCTTGGAGCTAGAGCAATAGTACAGCAGGCAGAGCACTTGCTTTGCACAAAGGTGACTCAGGTTCCATCCTTAGAACCCCCACGTAGTCCCCTAAGCCCCAGCAGGAATGATCCCTGAGTGCAGAGCCAGGAGTAAGCCCTGAACACCACTAGATGCGGCACCAAAGCCTCCACCCCTGAGGGGGAGATTTTCTTCAGATCATTCCAACTCCAGTCCCATAAATCTGGTTCTGCTCTTCAAAATCATTTAGTGGGAGAAGAAAAACAAGGTCCAGACTCTCGGAGCTAAGGCTCTGACCCCATTGAGATTTTGCCTAAAAAGCATCGTTCAGCATTTCAGCGGAAACTTGCAAATTAAGGCCACTTTGCCACATTTGGCTCCCTCCCTGTTGATGCACGGCAGAGGGGAAGGTTTCCTGCGCTCAGAACAATGGTGCCCCAAGAAAGAGAACAGATCTGCACCCTATACTTTCTTTTCCTTTTTTTATACTTTTTTTATTGACTCACTGTGAGAGAGACCCTTAAAAAGCTATTCATGATTGGATTTCAGTCATACAGTGTTCCAACACCCATCCCTCTACCAGTGTACTTTTCCCAGCAACAGTGTCCCCGGGTTCCCTTCCATCACCCCCCAACCCCTAACCCCTGCCTGCCTCTATGGCAGGCGCTTTTCTTCTCTCTCTCTCTCTCTCTCTCTCTCTCTCTCTCTCTCTCCCTCTCTCTATCTCTCTTTCTTTATCTCTCTCTAGCTCTCTCTAGCTCTCTCCTTTTTGGCATCATGGTTTTCAATACTGATACTGAGAAGTTATCAGGAGTATCTCTTTACCTACTTTTTAACCCTTCTTATCTTGTCCACGTGATCATTCCCAGCTGATATTGCCATGGTGGTCTCTTCTCTCTCTTACCTACCCTCCGCACCCTATACTTCCGGAGAAGCAGGGGTGCTGTCTACTGTCTGTGCCGTGACCCACCCGGCCCCCTACACAAGGGAGAACCTGCTCCTTGGCGCGCTCCAGCTGCTGAACCAGGTCTTCACGTTCATGAGCCGCGAAGTGCCGCACGCCAATATCTTCATCTCCCAGCCTCTGTTTGGCGATTGTCATCCTCAAGAGCTGCACATTCCATTAGTGAAAGAGGAAAGAGAGAGTGTGTGTTAAAGTGAACAGATAGAAACAAAAATGCAAGGAAGTCTGGCAGATTTTTTTAAAGAGCTACTGGGGAAAAACATAAGACAAAAGGTATTTCTTGGCATTATAATGAATTAAATTGCTTAACACGCCATATAATATGTAGTATACCTGCATGCAGGTATACGTGTGTACACTACAAGGTTTGAGGTTACCAGAAACACGACCAGGGCATTTGAAGATGGGCATCGTAGGAGCAAATGCTAGGTGTCTTTAAAAGGTAGCCCAGAGTTAAACACACACACACACACACACACATACACACACACACTCTCTCTCTAATGTAACATTGGGAAATATTCTGCATTTATTTGTTCCTAGTGTCAAAATCTGCTTTCTGGTGCTTTTGTCCCAGAGCGGCCCCATGTCACTACAGGGAGCCAGTTCTGCTTTGCAAAAGACAGTTGTCACTAGATAGGAGCATGCCCAACTGAGGTCACACACAGTGATATCTCCTTGCCTCCCTGTTGCAGCAAATACACACACACAGTACATGTTCTTCTCCTGGCGTGTGTGGTGCTGTTTCATGACATTCGTGTGCTGTTTTTGTTTGTTTGTTTGTTTGTTTGGTTTGGTATTTTGCTGCCTAAGATGGACCCACACCTGCTGTGGAAATGTGGTCTAGGGTTGTGGCAAAGGGTCTGAACAGGAAAAAGCATGTGCATCAGTAAGCTCACAAGGGCATGGACAGTAGTGTCAGTGATGAGAACGAGAAACTTACATTTATTTTATTTTTCATTCTATTTTAGGCACGACACATCATAGGACACTCCCTACTCATTTTCCATAATTACCACACCATATTTGATGGGATTCAGACAGTAGGCAACAAATCATAGAGGGATATATATATATATATACATATACATATGTATATATATATGTTTCTCGAAGAGACCGGAAACCTATTGAGAGTACCCCACTCACATGGCACTCACATAGCCTGGCAAGCTACCCATGGCATATTCAATATGCAAAAAAACAGTAACAATAACAGGTCTCATTCCACTGACCCTGAAAGAGGCTCCAACACAGGAGTTGGAAAGGACGAGAGGAGAGGCTGCTAAAATCTCAGAGCTGGGACGAATGGAGACGTTACTGGTGAATGCTGGAGTAGTCAATGAACAACGGGATGACAGTGCTACAGTGCAGTGCTATTTTAGGCACCATGATGTACAATTCTGTTAACGGCAGGGTCTCAAGCACACGACATCCAGCACCGCCCCCACCCCCACAATACCTGCTTTCCTCCACCACTGTCCCAGGGTCCCCTGGCCCCATCCTGCTCCTCCTTCCCAGCCCCCAGATGGGCAGTTTCCTCCTAAAGACCAAATCTCTGTTTCTATTGCCTTTGGGCATTTGTTATTCCATTAATATGTTTCTTTATATCCTACACATGAGACAGATCATTTTGTCTGTCCCTCTCCTGACTAATGTCATTTAGCATGATACTCTCCAGATTCATCCATACACCAGCAAATTGCCCAATTTTGGCAATTTATAGCCAAGTGGTATTCCATTGTAAATGCAGGTCAAAGAATGGCCTCTCTCTCTCTCTCTCTCTCTCTCTCTCTCTCTCTCTCAAGAACATCTATCTATCTATAGATACACATATAGTATATGTAGATATAAAGAGCTTTATATATAAATCTGTCTTTGTCTCTCTGTTTCTCTCTGTCTCTCTCTGTCTCTGTTTCTCTCTGTCTCTGTCTCTGTTTCTCTCTCTCTCCATATATATATATATGTATATATATACATATATGTTTGGTTTTAGGATCATACCCAACAATATTCAGAGGTTACTCCTGGCTCTTTGATAAAAATTATTACTGATAGTGCATGGGGAGTCATATAGGATTCCAGGGATCAAGCCCTGGTTGGCCTATTGCTCCAGCCTTGAAGCTTCCATTTTAATACATAAAACAAGATGACATATTGCCAGTGGACCCAAAACAACATGAGTAGAGACTGGCACGAACTTAGTCCTGTCTTGCCCCTAGGGCCAATGAGACTTGATATCTGCTAACTCAGTTTTGGTGGTGACTGTAGAGAGCATAACTATGGCAGACCCCAACAGGGAACTGTGTTTGGTGGGATGCTGAACTGGATACTTCAGCTGAAGACCATGTGTGGAAACATCTTCCCCATCACAAGAATCCTGTTCAGGATGCCAGAGCCCTAAGCGGTTCTCCAGAAAAACAAACAGTGAACCAAAGCAGAAACATTTCTCAGAGCAGAGGTTCAAGGAACAAGCAGGCTTTTTTTGCCTTTTAGGGCAAGAGGCAGAAGAAAGCCTGTGACATGTTTTTGGAAGCAGGAGCGCTTTTCTTGATCTGTGAAAAGCCAGACTGACAGCATGAACTTTAAGTAATAAAACGCCACTGTGGTTTTCCATTCACAATCTGCTTCGCTGAACAGTTAATTTAGATTCACACAATTATGTTTGCTTAATGCCAATTAATTATTAAACATGTTTATTGAGGTCTGACAGCCATATAAGGGAGCCATCTTTTATATACTGGATGCCTGTTAAGCTTCAGTAAATATGTTAACAATCATTGGGTGTTTAATGTGCATACAATATCAGCTATTAAATATCAGGGCTGGACTGGTTGAAACATTTATCTTTAAAAGTGAGACCCAAGTTGGGAAGAGCTGGATCATGAGTTGGGCCTGGGCCCAAGGCGACAACACACTAGGGATGGGTGCACCCTGAGGAGCGTGCTTCAGGCTTTCCAGCTGAAAAACCACAGGCTCTGGAGTTTGATTCCACAGTCCATGAGCAGCGAAACCTTGAGCATATGCCTGAGCCACTCTGAGCCATGGTATGCTACTATAAGACCTGGGCAGTAAGAGGGACCCCCTGCTCAGAGGGTGACTGTACATATGACGAGGCAACGGACCCATAGGCAGTGAACATGCAATGTTGGGAGGTTGAAATATATCTGCTTGGCTACAAGAGGAGTCGTGGGTGGAAGGGGGAATAAAGAGGGAAAGAGAAGGGGGGGAAAGGATGAGTGAGAAATCAAAAGTAGAACAGTTGGGTTCTACCCAAGCCAATGTCGCAGAGCGAGGCAGGAAAATGATAGCGGAGCGATAGCACAGCGGGTAGGGCATTTGCCTTGCAAGCGGCCAACATGGCCGACCCGAGTTCGATTCCTCTGCCCCTCTCAGAGAGCCCGGCAAGCTACTGAGAGTATCTCGCCCGCATGCAAAGCCTGGCAAGCTCCCTGTGACGTATTCGATACGCCAAACACAGTAACAATTGTCACAATGGAGACATTACTGGGCCTGCTGGAGCAAATCAATGAACAATGGGAGGACAGTGACAGTGACAGTGATGTTCAAGTAAGACGATCCTCCTCACGATGACATGCCATCTCCCTCATTGAGGATATTCGTTACCAAGTGCCTTCAACTTTACCCACCAGCGAAGGGGAACTGCAAAGGGAATTTCGGCTAGATTCAAGTTTGTCTCTTCCACACAGACCTCCAAAGTTGATCTTACATATGGGAAGAAGGGATTTCTCTGAGAAACAGAGCAGTCTCCAGAACATGGAAAGTGCACAGACCATGAGAATTGATCTGTGATGACTGTGAATGAGGGTGAATGAGGGTGGCCATCCTCATTCTACTTCATCTGGATCCCCCCACGAAGAAACAAACCAACAGAAAACACCCACCCAGGAAGTCTGATCTTGCACATAGGCCTAAGGAACCAGAGCTCCGCAACCAACCTTAGCTGCAGACTGCAGGATTAATAGGCAATTAATTGTGCAGGTTTCCCATCTCAGAAACAGCTAGAAAGTCACTGACATGGGGAGTCTCATTCCCTCTGACAGGGCCGTCGGAACCCCAGAGGCAGCCCATTTGTGCCAGTACCTTTGTGCAGCAGCACACTCCGACCCAAACACACACTCATTTCATGTAAAAAAAACCTTTAGTTAAAAAGAAAGTGCATGAGCCTCTAGCTTGTGGACATGCACTGCTTCAGCTGGGATGAGCCTGAGGCACATGGTGTCATAAAAATATAGACAATACCCCTAGGGTTCAAAAACACACAGTAAAAATGACATCTGCACTTGTATGCTCATTGTAGCACTATTCACTATAGCCAGAATCTGAGTGCCCAAGAACAGACGACTGGATAAAGAACCTATGGTACATCTGCATAATAGAATACTATGCAACTGTTGGGAAAAGTGAAGTCACAAATTTGCTTATAAATGAATGTACATGGAGAGCATCATGCTGACTGAAATAGAAGGAGAGGAACTGACACAGAATGAGTACAAAGATTTGTGGGATATTAAAAAAAATAATATGAAACTGATACCCAAGGATAGTAGAACCTAGGGCCAGGAAGATTGGTCCACAATTGAAAGCTGGCCTCAGGTGTTGGGGGAGAGTGCAGTTAGGATGAAGAAGGGATCGTGATGATAATAATGGTTGGAAGACATTGCCCTGGATGGGAGATGTGTGCTGAAAGTAGGTAAAGGACCAAACATGATGGCCTCTCACTCAGTACTCGTATTGCAAACCATAATGCCCAAAAGGGGAGAGAGAGAGAGAGAGAGAGAGAGAGAGAGAGAGAGAGAGAGAGAGAGAGAGAAGTACCTACCATAGAGGTAGGCTGGGGGTGGGGTGCAGGAGAAAGGGTACGAGTGACAGGGAATGTACAGTGGCGGAGAGATGGGTGTTGGAACATTTTATGACTGAAACCCGATCATGAAAGCTTTGTAACTCTATCTCAGTGATTGAAAAAAAAGATATAGGCAATGGCTCTTGGGTGCTCTTGCCCACCCCTGCCCTGTCCACTCCTACTCTCCTGGAGTGGGGTACTCCTGAGGCTACCCAGTTGGAAGGATATGCTCCTTGATCTCTGTTCAGCTCCATTCCTCATCCCTCAGGGTTGGATGATTGGA